GCACCTCCATGCGGGAGCACGAGGGGATGTGGAGCCTGGGCAGAGGGGACAAGGGCTGAATCCTCGGGTAGTGTAACTCCGCCATCGGGTCGATCTTCCAGCTCTTCAGCTTGGGGTGTGGGTCGATCTTGATCTGGCTGGGGCTCCACTTGTCCTGGTTCTCCTCCTGCAGGCTGGACATCTTCTCCTCTCTCTTCTTGGCTGCCTCCCAGTTGAATCTCATCTCCATCTTGGCCTCCTCCAGACTGGGCCAAGTCCACAACATTGTCTCCTTCGAGCTGGGTGTCCCCTTTCTCCTCGGCCTCTCCAGACTGTGCGCCATCCTGTTGCTGTTCTCCTCCGTCTTCTGCAGGGTCTCGAGGTTCCCGGCTTCCGCTACTTTCTCCACCTTCCTCTCCTGTGGCCTGCTCGGGTTGCCCTTGGTCTTCCGCTCCTCCAGGCTGGTCTGTTTCTGGCTCAGCTGGTTCTGACTCAGCGGGTATGTGCAGGGACTGGGGTGGGGACTGGGGCTGGGGTTCTTCAGACTCTGCGCTGGTGTCACCTGGGATTTGGGGGGATTGGCTGTCGCCGGCCTGGGGGTCAGGGGAACGGGGAGGCTGGGCAGACGGTTGGTCTTCCTGACCCAGATTCCCTGAAGATGTGGAGGGTTCAGGATGTTCAGCATCTGGTCCGGGGGCCTGGAGCTGCTCCCCACCTGCAGGAGGCTGGGGTAGCTCGGAATCCACACCGTCCACGGCCGAGGCTGGATCTTCCATCCACGCTGGGTGGTGGGGTGACGTTGGCTGCCCAGGGTGAGGGTGAGGGTGGGGCACTTATTGGGCGTGCGGAGGTCCTAAAGTTCGGTGCTCGGCCTGGCTTCACATTGGCATGTGGAGGATTGGATGGAGGCCGACAGTCTACAGACCCTGAAGAGACTCACCTTCCATGTCTAGCCCGCCCTACAATTTCCCGCTTACTGATTGGGCCCTGCTGGCCACCTGCCCCACCTTGTTTGTCAGGTCACAAATGTGCCCTTGGCCTGTGATTGGCCGGGCTCCAGAGTAGCCGGATGGCAATAGCTTGCCCTGGCTCTCCTCCTGCAGGCTGGACATCTTCTTCTCTCTCTTCTTGGTGGCCTCCCAGTTGGAAGCCTTGCGGGTCACTGGCTCCGCCATCCAGCCGCTTGGCCTGCTCCCTGATGCCTCCACGTTGACCTGCCTGGCAACGGGCTGTTGGAATCAAGCCCTCTGCGGCGGTCCACAGGACTCCAGGGCACTGATGATGCCAGCGCAGGCAGCCCGGCCTGGCTCAGCGGCAGGACTTGGAAGGGCGGACCAGTCACTGGAGGGCAGGGAATCCTGCCGCTCGGCTCCTGTTAATCCTGCAAGCCAAAGCCCTAACAGGTAAGGTTAAGAATTACTGCTTGAAAGGGCGGTCGAAACAGATTCGGTAATAACTTTCCAAAGGGAATTCATTGGATAGGTACTTGAAAAGAAAAAAAACTCGCAAGGATACGGAGAAAGAGGGGCGGGGGGTGGGGGTGGGGGGGTGGGGGGGGGGTGGGGGAGTGGGACTGATTGGGTAGCTCTTCCAAAGAGCTGGCACGGGCACCGGGGCCGAATGGCTTCCTTTCTGTGCTGTAGTATTCTATTCTCCGATTCTGGTCCGTCATTTCGATGGTTGTGATAACCTGTGGGAATGTGTCCGTCTGTAAACCTGCTCAGCACCTCTCTCTACCTCTGTCCCCACCGCACTGAGTCCTCTACCTCTGTCCTCTCTCTACCCTTGTCTTTCTCTCCCCCCCTCCCCCCCTCTCTTTCTCCCCCAACCCCCGCATTTTCTCGCTGTTCTCTCATTATCTCCCCCTCTGTTCCCCCCTCCCCACCAGCACAGCACTCCCCTCCACCCTAATAATAATAATAACCCTTGCACTTGACACGGCGCCCCATCTTCGAGACATCGCGAAGCTGAAATGACTGTAGATTTTTAGGGGCAGCCAATGCGACAGCCAATTGCGCGCAGCAGTGGCCCACCCGCGGTCATGGATTGCGTGACCGCATTATTTTGATTATTTTTTTTTTTTTGAAGGGATTGTCACTCCTGGAAAAGCAAACTGGCAACTGACTAACAACCGGGTTCCTACTTACCGCTGGGTAAGCGGAGACGTGTGGCGTAAGGAAACCTGCCCAACCTTTCGCCCTGCCCGGGACTCGAACCATGGTCCTCTTCGCTTGCGCTCTCTCGAATGCAAGGATGATTATTAATGTTATAACCTCGAGGTCCGCCGAAAAGGTCGGCGACCTGAAACGTTAACTCACGTTCCTCCCTCCGCAGATGCCGCCTGACCCGCCGAGCGCTCCCAGCGACGTCTGCGTCTATTTCAGATTTCCGGCGGTGTTTTGCCGTCCGATTGTTAATACGATCGCCGACGTCCCGAGAGGGAACTTTGCAAGGAGCGTTGCCTTTAAGAAAAAGGTCGCCCCCACCTTCGCCACCTCCCCCCGCCCGCCCCCCCCCCCCGCCCCCCCCCATCTAATTGAAGACATGCCTCCTTTAGGAACCATTCATACCGTCCTCTCTGCTTCCCCGCATGCCTTATTCCCATCACCAGATCTGCCATTGGCTCTTTGTGCTGACGTGAATGGGGGAATGGCGGGGGGGGGGGGGGGTATGGGTGGGTGGGTGAGGGGGGGGGGACACACGACACACACACACACGCGTATAAATGTGGTTCAGCAACAATACAAAGGCAACAGGAATGTTGATGCTGTGTTTAGCCAGAGAGGGAGCGCCGCACAAAGCCATGAGGGCGGGTAGGAGAGGGGAATACAGAGCATCATCTGGTCACCAGTATCCCGACACACTCACACACACACACACACACGCGCACACACTCTCTCTCTCTCTCTCTCACACGCACGCACGCACGCACACACGCACACTCGCACGCACGTATTGCCGCGCACACTCTCATCCGAACGCACACTTGCACACAGAGGCTCTCTCGCACGCGCGCTCACACGCACGTGCTCCCGCGCGCACTCTCGTTCGAACGCCCACTCACACACGCCCACTCACACACCCTCATACAAACGCACTCACACACGCAGACACGCACGCGCACACACAGTCGCACACACATTCTCACACCTACACTCTCACACACCCTCACCCACGCTCTCTCCACGACCGTTTGTGGGACGCTGCTGCGTGCAATCGGCCCCCGCGCCTCCCCACAACATAGACAGACAATTCGCTCTACGGTATACTCTGTGAAGCGCTCTGAGACGTCTCGAAGACGTGCTAACAACTTACCTTTATGTAGGCACCTCCCTACCTCTCTGAACTGCTTACCCCCCCACCCCCACCCCCCCAACCCTCAACTGGCTCCGGCCTCCTGCACGTCCTTTGTGTGCTCTGTGCCCCATTGGTGGCCGCGCTTTCAGTCACTACGTCCCGAGACACTTCCTCTGTCCCTCCGCCTGGCCCTCTCCTTCCCCCATCTTCAGGTTGCACCTGAAGACCTTCCCATCTGGTGGGTATAAATGACAGTGCATCCTTGCGAAGCCCTTTGAGGCGTCTCGGAGACACGATGAGGCGCTGTGCAAAATAACGATTAAAATAAACTGGTCACTGGTCACTTCAATCCACGACTGAGGCTGTGGGACGCCGCTGTGCGCAGTTGGCCGCCGCCTTTCGCTCACAAAATTCGCAGTCGATTCCCTTTACAGTATATTCCGCGCAGCACTTTGAGAACGTCTCAAAGACGCGATGAGGCACGATATCAAGGATTATTACTATTATATCGAACGCAAGGATTATTACTATTATTATATTGATTGCAAGGACTCTTACTAATATTATATTGATTGCAAGGACTCTTACTAAAATTATTATTGAATTGAATGCAAGGATTATTATTAATATTATTATATTGACTGCAAGAATTATTACTAATATTATTATATTGACTGCAAGGATTATTACTAATATTACATTGATTGCAAGGATTATTACTAATATTATTGTATCGAATGCAAAGACTCTTACTAATATTATTATTATATTGACTGCAGGGATTATTACTAATATTATTATTGTATCGAATGCAAGGATCATCACTACTATTATTATTTTATTGATGGCAAGGATGAGTACTGATACTATTATTGTATTGATTGCAGGGATTAGTACTGATATCACTATTATATCGAAATGCAAGGATTAGTACTGCTGTTATTATTTTTTTGATGGCACGGATTTATTACTAATATTATTATTGACTCGAATGCAAGGATGATGATGATGATGATGATGATGTCAGGTCTGAGGTTGGAGGAGAGGCGGTCGGGCGGCGATGGCAAACTCAGGGTTGAGTTGGCATCTGGTCTCCGGAGACTGTCTGATGGATTGCAATAAGCATTTTTCCCATTTCCATCTCCCACCTGATCGAGGAGGAGCGTATAAAAGCCGCAGCTGCTGGTGTGAGCGTCCTGTCAGCACTGACCGTCAGCAACAGTCAGCTACAGGGGGGTGGGGGGGAGGGGGGTAGGTCGCTGTCCAAGAGCTGAAACACACATACACGCACACACACACGCGCGCGCGCACACACACACACACACATACATACACACACACACACACACACACACACATACATACATACATACACAGCACAGAGCAAAGCGCGCACGCACACACACACACACACACACACACTCACACAGGCAGAGCACGCGCACACACATACTCACACACACACACACAGCACAAGGCTAAGCACAGCACACACACACACACAGAGCGCGCACACACTTAGCACACACGCACACACGCACGCACGCACACAGCACACACATACACACTGAGCACACTCACTCACTCACTCACTCACTCACACACACACACACACACAGAGCAAAGCACACACAGACACAGACACAGCACATACATACACATACATTGCGCGCACACACACACACACACACACCAGACACACACACACACACACACAGACAAGGCGACTACAAAACATGCCTCGATCGTTCCTGGTGAAAAAAGTCAAACTGGATGACTATCCTTCCAACGCCATCGAATTGGAGAATTCCTACAGCAGAGCAGCGCCTGACAGAGTGGCCAGTCTGACCTCCCGCCTGCACAGCACAGGTAGGTGTTGTTATACTGTATGTTGTACTGTATATGCACACACATCCACCATAAACACACACATACACCGCATACACACACATACACCAGATACACACACATACACCATATACACACGCATACACCATAAACACACACATACACCGCATACACACATACACCATAAACACACACATACACCAGATACCCACATTATACACGAGATACGCATATATAACCAGATACACACACACACACACATATATACACTAGATACACACAAACACCAGATACACACACATACACCAGATACATACACATACACCAGATACACACACATACACCAGATACACACACATACACCAAATACACACACATACACCAGATACACACACATGCACCAGATACACACATACACCAGATACACACACATACACCAAATACACACACATACACCAGATACACACACATACACCAGATACACACACATATACCAGATACACACATACACCCGATACACACACATACACCAGATACACACATATACACCAGATACACACATACACTAGATACGCGCATATACACCGCATACACACACATACACCAGATACATACATATACACTAGATACACACACATACACTAAATACACATACATACACTATATACACATATGCACTGTATATACACATATACACTATATACACACATATATACTATATAGAAATGCACCATGTATACATATATACTAGATTTACTTATACACTATATATACATATACACTATATATACATATACACTATATATGTATATATACATATATACATTATACACATCCATAGCCTGGCCTCTCACCTGCACAGCACAGGTAGGCTTTATCATACTGTGTGTGTATATATATATATATATATATAGAGAGAGAGTAATATATGTATATATTGTATATATGTCATTATAACAACAATAATAGCCACTGTGCACCGTTTTCCTGTGATTCCACTTTATTATTCTTGTTACTGCTTGTAATTATTTATGTAAATATATCATATATGTATAGTATATAGAGTACGTATATATATATAGAGAGAGAGAGAGAAAAATATATTTGGAGAGACCGAGAGAAAAAAATGTATAGAGTGAGAGAGAGAAATATCTATCTATCTATTTATCTATCTATCTATCTATCTATCTATATATATAAATAAATCAATGCCACAATCCATCCTGTTTGTTTCACAATTGCAGAAAGCGTTAAAATGCATATTTTATCCCGGTAAAATAAGAGGAAATCAGTGCATAATCTGCAAATAAAGACGGAGTAGAAATAGCATCTGCTTTCGGCCCTGCAGGAGCAGGGAACCAGCTTAACAGTGTGGCCAGGGAATGCTGTGTGTGTGTGCAAGCATTTTACGCAATGCGTTCAGATATTTTAACCCATTTTTTTTGTTGCAAATTTTCCTTTTAATTCATTCACTCTATATACACGCGCACACTGTATGTGTACACGCACAGCATATAGACACACGCAGCACATACGCACGCTGCACACATGCACACTGTATACACACACATGGTATATGCACACACTGTACGCAGTGACACACACACACACACGCGTCATGTACACTGACACGCACACACTGTATATATACACACATACACACACACTGTATATGCACACACTGTATACAGTAGCACACATACATACGCAATGTACGCTGACATACACACTGTATATACACGCACTGTATACGCACACACTGTATATACATACACTGTTTGCAGTGGCACACATGTACACTGTACATAGTCACACACACACACAGTAGTGTCCTGGAACTCAGTGTGTGCCTTACACAGTAATTAAAATGTGATCCCATCACAGAGACCCCCCCCCCCACACCCAGGTATTTTGTGCCCTAAACTGGGAGGTCAGGGTGACAGCTCTCTGTGTTACTGTCACTCCCCCCAACATAGCACTGTGGCTAAATATAGCAGCAGTTTGCTGACCGCGGAGAGCGTATAAATAGCAGGGAATGGTAAACAGCCACTTGTGTGTGAGTGTGAGAGAGAGCCGGTGTGTGAGTGTGAGAGCCGGTGTGTGAGTGTGAGAGCCGGTGTGTGAGTGTGAGAGCCAGTGTGTGAGTGAGAGAGAACCGGTGTGTGAGAGAGAGCCGGTGTGTGAGTGTGAGAGCCGGTGTGTGAGTGTGAGAGCCAGTGTGTGAGTGAGAGAGAACCGGTGTGTGAGTGAGAGAGAACCGGTGTGTGAGTGTGAGAGAGCCGGTGTGTGAGTGTGAGAGCCGGTGTGTGAGTGTGAGAGCCGGTGTGTGAGTGTGAGAGCCAGTGTGTGAGTGAGAGAGAACCGGTGTGTGAGTGAGAGAGAGCCGGTGTGTGAGTGTGAGAGAGCCGGTGTGTGAGTGTGAGAGCCGGTGTGTGAGTTTGAGAGCCAGTGTGTGAGTGTGAGAGAGCCAGTGTGTGAGTGTGAGAGAACCAGTGTGTGAGTGTGAGAGCCTGTGTGTGAGTGTGAGAGCCAGTGTGTGAGTGTGAGAGCCAGTGTGTGAGTGTGAGAGAGCCAGTGTATGAGTGAGAGAGAGCCGGTGTGTGAGTGAGAGAGCCGGTGTGTGAGAGAGCCGGTGTATGAGTGAGAGAGAGCCGGTGTGTGAGTGTGAGAGAGCCGGTGTGAGTGCCAGTGTGTGAGTGTGAGAGAGCCAGTGTGTGAGTGTGAGAGAGCCGGTGTGTGAGTGTGAGTGCCAGTGTGTGAGTGAGAGAGAGCCGGTGTGTGAGTGTGAGAGAGCCGGTGAATGAGTGTGAGAGAGCCGGTGTGTGAGTGTGAGAGAGCCGGTGTGTGAGTGAGAGAGAGCCGGTGTATGAGAGAGCCGGTGTGTGAGTGTGAGAGCCAGTGTGTCAGTGTGAGAGAGCCGGTGTGTGAGTGAGAGAGAACCAGTGTGTGAGTGTGAGAGCCAGTGTTTGAGTGTGAGAGCCAGTGTGTGAGTGTGAGAGAGCCAGTGTGTGAGTGTGAGAGAGCCAGTGTGTGAGTGAGAGAGCCGGTGTGTGAGTGTGAGAGAGCCAGTGTGTGAGTGAGAGGGCCGGTGTGTGAGTGTGAGAGCCGGTGTGTGAGTGTGAGAGAGCCGGTGTGTGAGTGTGAGAGCCAGTGTGTGAGTGTGAGAGAGTCGGTGTGTGAGTGTGAGAGCCGGTGTGTGAGTGTGAGAGAGCTGGTGTGTGAGTGTGAGAGAGCCAGTGTGTGAGTGTGAGAGAGCCAGTGTGTGAGTGTGAGAGAGTCGGTGTGTGAGTGTGAGAGCAGGTGTGTGAGTGTGAGAGAGCTGGTGTGTGAGTGTGAGAGAGCTGGTGTGTGAGTGTCAGGGAACCAGTGTGTGAGTGTGAGAGAGTCGGTGTGTCAGTGTGTGAGAGCCGGTGTGTGAGTGTGAGAGCCGGTGTGTGAGTGTGAGAGCCAGTGTGTGAGTGTGAGAGAGTCGGTGTGTGAGTGTGAGAGAGCCGGTGTGTCAGTGTGTGAGAGCCGGTGTGTGAGTGTGAGAGCCGGTGTGTGAGTGTGAGAGAGCAGGTGTGTGAGTGTGAGAGCCGGTGTGTCAGTGTGAGAGAGCCGGTGTGTGAGTGTGAGAGAGCCGGTGTGTGAGTGTGAGAGCCGGTGTGTGAGTGTGAGAGCAGGTGTGTGAGTGTGAGAGCCGGTGTGTGAGTGTGAGAGCAGGTGTGTGAGTGTGAGAGCCGGTGTGTTGTTATGTGTGTATAAGAGAGAGACAGTGTGTGTGAGAGAAAGTGTAGTGTGTGTATGTGTGTGTGTGAGAGAGAGACAATGTGCGTGAGAGGGACCGTGTGTATGTGTGTGTGTGAGAGGGACAGTGTATGTGTGCGTGTGAGAGGGACAGTGCTTGTGTGTGTGTGAGAGGGACAGTGTGTGTGTGTGTGTGAGAGAGAGAGACAGTGTGTGCGAGAGAAAGTGTAGTGTGTGTGTGTGCGCGTGTGTGAGGGAGAGACAACGTGTGTTTGTGTGGGATACACTGAGTCTGAGAACTTGGAGCTTTCTCACAGCCTTTCCCCCCCTCTCCCCCCCCCCCCACCCCTTTCTCCCTCTCTCTGCCACTCTTATCTGTCGCTCCTTCCTCCCTCTCTCTTCCCCCTCTCCACGTCCGCCCCCCCACTCTCCCTACCTCTCTTTATCTTTTTCCCCCTTTCTCTCTGCGGCTCTCAATCCCCTGTCTCCCCGCATCTCTCTACGCCCGCCCGCTCGCTCGCTCCCCGTCTCACGACCTCTCTTTCTCGTTCTCAAAGAAACGTAGACACAGGAATAGGGCCAATCAGCCCCTCAAGCCTGTTTGGCCATTTGATCAGATCACGGCTGATCTGTACCTCAACTCCAATTAATTGGCCTTAACTTTACGTCATCCGCACATTTGGATGTAAGACTCTCTATTCCTTCAACCAAGTCATTTATATACATATACACACACACACACACACACCCGCACATATATATATATATATATAGATATAATATAAATGGTGTAAAGCTGAGGCCCCAGTACAGACCCCCGGGAACGCCACTTGTCACGTCCCGCCAATCGGAGAAAGTTCCTTTCATCCCTACGCTCCGTTTCCTGCCTCCCAATCAACTGCCAACCCACGTCGCAAGGTCACCTCCGATTCTAAGCGCTTTTATTATTGCTAATAACCTCTTGTGCGGAACCTTATCAAATGCCTTCTGAACGTCCGGGTAGACGACATCCATAGACACCTCACTCATCCAGAGTCATCCCGCTCAGCTCCTGTCAGCCCAGCAAGCCAAAGCTCTAACGGGTAGGATGGTCCTAGCTGGACGAGCAGCGGGTTAAAGCTTGCCGGCAGCCATATCAATGGCAGGCTGTGTGTTTTTTGCTTTGCCCGAAAGGGCGGTGGAAGCCGATTCGATAGCAACTTTCAAGAGAGAAGTAGATAGATATTTGGGGAGGACAAATTTGCAAGGCAATGGGGAGAGCGCGGGGGGAGTGGGACTAACCTGGACGGCTCTTTCAAAGAGCCAGCGGGCACACAATGGGCCGAATGGCCTCCTTCGGTGCTGTATAATTCTCTGATTCTATGATATGTCAGGCACCCGGCTGACCAAAGCCAACAGACCCTGCCTCCCAGCCGATTCCCAAGCCACGTTACGAGGCCACCTCCGATTCCGAGTGCTTTCCTTGTCGCTAATAACCTCTCGTGTGGAACCTGATCAAATGCCTTCTGGAAGTCCAGGTAGACCCCACCCATAGAGACCCGTCTCTCTTTAATCCGCCTCCTCAAAAAACTCTCTCTCTCCCAGGTTACATCAGTGACTACATCAGGCCGAGCAGTGTTTACGAGGATGGTGACACCGGCCTCCGGCTGGCCTCCCCGGAGCCCCTCTACGCGGCGGTGCCGGGGCGGGAGTGCTGCCGGCCGGAGCAGCCGGAGCAGCCGGACAGCCCGCAGGCGGGGGCCGGCTACATCAACGGCGACGCCGCGGTGAGCGAGGGCTACAGCGTGGCTGCCTTCTTCATCACCGACGGCCGGTCCAGACGAAGGAGGAGGGGCGGGGCCGGGGGCGGAGGCGGAGGCGGAGGCGGGGCCGGGGCGGGGGCCGGGGGCGGGTCCGACGACGACGCGGGGCGAGGCCCCACCCACCGGCACGCCTGCGGGGAGTGCGGTAAGACCTACGCCACCTCGTCCAACCTGAGCCGCCACAAGCAGACCCACCGCAGCCTGGACAGCAAGTTGGCCCGCAAGTGCCCGACCTGCGGCAAGGTCTACGTGTCCATGCCGGCCATGGCCATGCACCTGCTGACCCACGACCTGCGGCACAAGTGCGGGGCTTGCGGCAAGGCCTTCAGCCGGCCCTGGCTGCTGCAGGGCCACATGCGCTCGCACACCGGGGAGAAGCCCTTCGGCTGCGCCCACTGCGGCAAGGCCTTCGCCGACCGCTCCAACCTGCGGGCCCACATGCAGACGCACTCGGCCTTCAAGCACTTCAGCTGCAAGCGCTGCCACAAGACCTTCGCCCTCAAGTCCTACCTGAACAAGCACTACGAGTCGGCCTGCTTCAAGGGGGGCCCCGGGGGCTCCCCCCCCGACACCACCGGCACCGCCAGCCCTGCACTCAACGCGGTGGAGGCCTGACCTGGCCTGACCACTCTCTCCTCATCTTCATTCATTCATTCATTCATTCATTCATTCATTCATTCATTCATTCATTCATTCATTCATTCATTCATTCATTCTTCCATCCTCATCGACTTCCTCCTCATCATCTTCGTCTCCCTCACTGCGGAGTCCTGAGGCTCAGTGGTTAGAGCGCGAGAGGACCTGGGTTCCATTCCCGGGGTTTACTCCGCACGCCTCTGTTTACTCAGGAGTAAACCCGGAAGCCGGTTGTTAGTCGATTGGCGGATCGCTTTTTCGAGGATAATAATCCCTTCAAAAAGAGAATTAACAAATTCGTCAGTCAGTCCTCGCCTGTTTGCTGTGCGTAATTGGCTGCCGCATTTCGCCCCCAAAATTCACTTTACAGTGTATCCCGTGAAGCGCTTTGAGACGTCTCGAAGACGCGAAAAGGCGCTGTATCGTATGCAAGGATTATTATTATTATTATTATTATTATCTCCTCAGCGTCTTCATCGCCCTCGTTTTCATCTCTCTCCACCTCCTCCTCCATCACCTTCATCTTCCCCTTCAAATTGCTCCTCACCTTCGTCGTCATTGCCCCTTTCCTCTTCCTCGTCCTCTACCTTCAAGTCATACACCGAACCAGGAGAAACAAGACACAGATGTTGATTGCCACGTGTGATAGATAGCACATCGAAACTATTTTCTACAAGAGAGAATGGAAGAAATGTTCTGCTTGTGATTTTCGCATGAACTTTATACAGGAATAGATTTTAAACAAAAACTCCTCACTTTAAGCTGTAGAGACACTAAAACCCGGCAAACTCGTTCGCTGAAATTCAGCGAAGGAACTGAAGGTGTTTGTAAACCACCGAGAGGTCGAACCTTTTCTATCGGAGGACAATAGTAGTCTTGTCTACCCAACGATTGATCTGTGGCCCCCTTCTCTCTCACCTTTAAGGTAACATTGTGTGTAACAAAGTGATTTTTTTTTTAATGGAATTATTTATTGTTTGTTTTATTGTTTTTTTTATTTATTTATCTGTTTGTTTATTGATTTATTTATTTATTTATTTATTGGATCCTATGCACAGTGCACTCTTTCTGAAGTACTGAGTTGCATTTTATATCTTAGTATGGTTTGTTCCTCCCCAAAAGCTCCCAACCCAACCCCAACTCAACCCCCCCCCAACCCCCAACTCAACTCCAACCCCACCCCCAAACCCCACCGCCAACCCCAACCCCAACCCACCCCCAGGCCCACTCCCAATCCGACCCACAACTCAAGCCCCAACCCACAACCGCAACCCCACCCCCAGCTCAACCCCAACCCACACCCCCAGCCCCACCCTCAACCCAATTCCATTCCAACTCAATTCACCCCAACCCAACTCTACTAACCCCAATCCAATACCAATCTAACCCATTCAATCCCACCCCAAATCCACCCACCCAACCCATCCCAACCAATCCCAACCCAGCCCAACACAATGCAACCCCAACCCACTCCACCCCCAGCCCCATCCCAACTCAAGTCACCCCTCTCAACCCCTGAACCCTACCCCAGCCCCAACGCCAACACCCTACCCCCATTTATTTGGTCCATCACTGAGCTCAGTATTTGATCAAGTGTTAAATGTGTTACAGAAATGCCAAAGCGCTTGTCACTTTCCGAAAGGGGGTTTACAAAAAGGAGAGAGGAGAGGGAAACAAACCGGTTGGGTTTATTTTAAGAAACTCTGCATTTTACGCATGCAACAAATATCGAATCTATGCCAATTGTAAAGTATTATATTTTAACTTTTTTGGATAAATAAGAATAAATACCGTAGCCAGTTTTTTGGGGGCAATATTTCACGTAGGCGCCTACAATAAACTATAGAAGCAATAATAATATCTGACGCATGATATTTTTAAGAAGCGGGAAAAATAGCGTTTGAAATAAAATAAAAAGCAGATGATATCAGGTACATTTTAATCCAGTATTCTGAATAGGAGGGGAATAAAGCAGTTATTTAAAGAATAATAATACTTAATAATAACATGATAAAATATTCAGGGACTTTTCCAATATAGTCTTATAGACAAATTAATCTTCCATTTTAATGCAATGCTTGCTTTCCTTTCATGGTAGTGTCTGTCTTCAGGTGCTGCAAGGACAGCGCTTCTAACCATTCAGTTTCTGAGTGGGTTTCGTTAGCCCTGTAATCATCCTAAGTCACCCCATCTTACTGTCTGACACTGTCTGACACCATGTCTGACACGAACTAGTAGCACTCCTAGAATCAGGTAGAAATCGCTGTATTTATTATCAATAAACAATAAAGGACGAGGGGTTTGAATGGGGGAAAGGGCAGGTCAACGGGACCGAAAAGGTTCGCTCGCAAAGGAATAGTCACGGGCACGATGGGACGAATTAATCGGCTTCTTCTGCTCTGCTAATAGGATGATGGTTCTGTGATTCTAACCCGCTTTTAAAATAAAATAAAGAGCAGGGGATGTGTAGCGAGAGAAAGAAAGCGGGCGGGCGGGCGGACGGGCGAGAGGGAGAGAGCGAGAGAAATAAAACCCTGTAAATACTATTCGAGACTTGAAAAGAAAAACGAAAAGCACCATTTTGAGTTGTTGTTAAAAAAAAAAGTGCTATAATCTCCTGTATGTGCGGAGATTTTCATGAGATTTTTTTTTTAAAAAGCCAGTATCTGAACAGAACGGTTGTAAGCACAATGGCACCAGACACGTTTGGAGCACTTCATAATTTAAAAATAATAAATAAAGACAATTCGTAATATATCATGTGTGTGTTTCTTATTTCTTGCCATAATCATTTCCTTCCCTTGTTTATTCCTCCCTCCCTCCTCTCTGGACAAGGGGACGCAAGTTTAAAACGAGGACAGTGTTTTCCCCTCTACATCACCAGTCTGAAGAAATAATAATAATAATAATCCTTGCGTTTGATATAGACATCTTACCATGTCTTCGAGTTGCCTAAAAGCGCTTCGTAGAATATACTTGTAAACTGTATAATTTGTGGCGAAAGCCAATTTGCGCCCGGGAATCGAACCCGGGTCCTCTCGCTTGCGAGGCGAGTGCTCGAACCATTGAGCTACAGGACCGCGTGTAACAGGACAGCGGGTCCCTTGTTTGTGGCAATGAACAACCTTTGATCACATCACTACAACGACGGCCAACTTGAAATTAAAACTAGCAAATGCCATGCGATCGACGACCTGTAGCCCGGGCTATTTAGGGAGACAAGACAGGGGATTCGTGACAGACATCATGAGGAAGTCAATCGGGCATTGGGGAAGTTCAACAGTCTGAAAGCAGCAGATATTGTTCCCATATTCAAGAAAGGCTCAGACCACGATTCAACCCTGAGACCTCCTGGTCTGTAGAGCCCAACACTGCACCCATTGAGCAGCAGCGAGAGCTCTTAGATGTAAAGTTATTCGGGATCAGAATCCAATTATGTTACAGGAAAGTTCTGGGTTGGCTTCAACCGGGAGAGATCTGAGGCTTTTAGGTCCAAGTGCCCCCACTTTAAAATACGTTTAATAAAAAAATGGACGTATAACAACAACAACTTGGGTAGCGTCCCGGAGCGCTTGACAGTGGCGGAGTCTGACCCCGAGCCAGGGAGAGAGGGACGGGAGAGGTGATCGTAAGCCCGACCAACAAGGAAGGTCTTTAGGTGAGATTTGCAGGTGGGGAAGGGAGCGAGGCGGAGGGATTGAGGGAGAGGGTTCCATAGTTTCAGGGTGTAGTGACTGCAGGCATGGCCACTGATGGTGGAGCGGAGGGGACGAGGGACAAACAGGAGGCCGGAGCCAGTTGCTGAGACAGGCTAACATGATTGAGCCGTGGAGTCGTAGCCGAAGTATTTTGCCTTTTTGCACAGTAGGTTGCCCAGGTGAAAAACGCACCAATAAATCCGCATTGTGTGACATCCTGGCGCAGTGGTAGTGCTCTCTTTCTTCGAGTCAGAAGGTTGCGGGCTCAAGCCCCTGGAATCACATCATAATCTTTGCATTTAATCTCGCGCCTTATCGCGTCATCAAGACGTCTGAAAATGCTTTCCCAGGGTTTACTGTAAAGTGTAGTGACCGTGCATTGCGTGGGCCACACGTGGCAGCCAGTTGCGCACAGCAGTGCCCCACAAACGGTCATGGAGCGAGCGAACAATTTTATTTGGGAGATTGTTGGCCAGGACACCAGGAGCTGACACTCCAGTGTAGCGCTGGGGGGGGGGGAATTGCACTGTCGGAGGCAACGTACTTCAGATGAGCCATTGAACTGAGGTCCCATCTGTGTCTGTTCAGGTGGACGCTAAAGATCGAGTGATGCTATTGGAAAAGAGGAGGGAATTTCTTTCTCTCCCTCGGTGTCCTGACCAACAAACCCCAGATAGATTTGGTCACTCACTTGTGGGACATTGCTGCGCGCAATTGGCTGCCGCGTTCGCCCACAAATATACAGTCAATTCACTTTACAGTATATTCTGTGAAGCGCTTTGAGACGTGGAGAAGATGTGAAAAGCGCTATATCAAATGCAAGGATTATTATTATTATTATTATTATTATTATGATGTGCACATTGACTGCTCGAAAACACAGTCGAAAAAACTTTGTAAAGCACTTTGAGATACGGATTCAATGATCGTTGTGACTGGATTCAGGTGAAGATGACGCTTTAAAAAGTTTATCTCGTTAAAGCTTACCTAAACATGATTAACAGCTCATCTCTCTAGCGCTGTGATCAGCCTCGCTGCTCTCCTCTGTCTCTGTCTCTGTCTCGAACGCTGTGATCAGCCTCGCTGCTCTCCTCTGTCTCTGTCTCTGTCTCTATCTCGAACGCTGTGATCAGCCTCGCTGCTCTCCTCTGTCTCTGTCTCTGTCTCTATCTCGAACGCTGTGATCAGCCTCGCTGCTCTCCTCTGTCTCTGTCTCTGTCTCTGTCTCGAACGCTGTGATCAGCCTCGCTGCTCTCCTGTCTTTCCCGGGAATCGAAACCAATCGCTTGCCAGGCGAGCCCACGAAC